GAAAGGCAAACCAAACAATTACTAACTACTTTTGAATTTCCTATTCTCCTGCATTCCAATCTTTTCTGATCGCTATTGTTATCTCCTTATACTACACTTATTATTACAATATAAAGAAACACAAAATAAATTAAAATTATCTCGCATTATTGTTTGCCATACGCTGCAATGTGCTAGTTAACAAAGCAATCTGTGTTTTTTGACCTTCCAGCTGTTGAATCATCATTTGAATCTCTGAGCCGAGATCCATCACATGGCTGCTAGCCCCACTTGTCGCACTGATATCCGACCTGGCGGGAGAATGACCTCTTGATACATCGGTGCTGACGCTTAGACGACCTCTAGATTCAAGATTATCAGTGCTTAGATGAGCTGCATGAACGTCTTCTTGATCTTCTTGGGGCTTGTGACGTACTTGATAATAAATGTACCGAGGTTTTTCTTGTTTGCTCCAATTTGTCCAAAGTGTCGCAATATTTCCATAATCGACAGTAAATTGAGCTCGTGTTTGCATCCTTGCATAGTGTTTAGCGTCGCGAGTGTTTTCGTTACTCACGACGTCGCTTTAATTTTGAAAATAAAAATGTCAGAGAATTTAAAATAATAATAATATATATATATATATATTATAGATACCTCATTAATGCAATCAACATATTCTGCATAATCGTGACCAAGAATATACTCCCTAATATCACAATTAGATGAACAGGGAGAAAATCCCAGCGTGTTAGTACATCATATTGTCCTAAAATCCAACTATATGCGCCCTCAATTGCTGTATAATATTCAAAGTATCGATTATCGTTTCTGTCGGTAACATCAAAATCTTCGTTGATTGCGAGCGTGGTGTTGTTTGTCGGTGATATGGTGTTAACGCCAACAAAATTTTGTAAGACAGGCTCAACATCAAGTACAGGTACAAACCGTAAAATCATGTACCTTTTGAAATTAAAAAAATTATTTATCAAAATGGTTTGTGTTTTATGAACTATTAAATAACGAATGTAATCAATTTACATTGCAACGCCGTAACCCGTAATCACAAATATTTGTGATGCTAAAAAAAGCCAAAGTTTGACAACTATTTGACAAGCGATGATTATATATTCGCCGATGCCTGTTAAGATATTTCATATATTAGCATAAATAAACAATCTAAATATTAATGCGTAAATGAATTTCACATTACTCACGAGGTAAAAAACGCATTCGTAAAAACTAAAAAGAAATATCAATATATATGTTAAGAAATCAAACCTTTTTATGTAAATTACGAGGAAACCTTACCAGATGAGACCAAACGCCAAGACAAGCAAATGCGAGAATTGAAACTTGCCATTTACAAGCTTCAATTCGAGTCGAACAATAACTATTATCAACCTCAGATCTGTGTATATAGACATCAGCATAAACGGCACCAATAATTAAATCAACAAAGAAACACAATGCGATCACAGCCGATTCGAACCAGAAACATATTGCGAGCCATGGCGGACCTCGATGAAATTGCATTCGTTGAATTTGAATAAATAGCCAAAGTCCCGAAATATAAACAGTAATAATCCATCCAGGTAAATAATACCAGTTATGCTTGTTGAGGACGATATAATTCAAATGTAAATGACATAACCAAACGAAAAGCACGGAGAAAATGACTGAGAATCCAAATGCCACCCAAGTACTAATTTTCCCTGTGTGTTCCCATGTGTAATTAATGACAGCCTCAATTGCTGGGTTTTTGAATATTTTACCAGTTGGATCGAGTAAAATTAATTTTGCAAATGGACTCCGGTGTTGAATTGCGTTGCCTAAAGAGATTATTCCAAAAAGAAGATTTGCTTTTGGAGCTACAGTTATATTTGGTAGTGGCACCATTCGATAATAAGGAACTTGAAGATCCTCATCTGTATGTGAATGTCTCTTTAGTCGTTTCTCTGATTTTGCAGTATCTAGAAATAAATTCGGCACAAAAGTAAAGGCTTTTTTTCCTGCAGCTTGAATGGCTAATTGATGATTATGCCAAGAGTCGAAAGAAATCTCCTTTGCAGAAACAAACGACTTTTTATCAAAAAACCTATGAGCGAAACCTAACAAGTAATTTTGAATTAATGATAGTTTTTCAATATCTAAACTTTATAACGAATTGCTTACGTGGATATCTTTCGAATATCATTGGTAATTCTTGAGTGACAGTAAACATCCAGCCGGCATTTTTTGCTGCATTTCTTTTATAATACTCTAATAATTTTTCGACAATCACCGGGTCGCCAGTTTTGATTGCTAATGACAACTCGCTTTCTTTCTTTGGTAGTCGAAATCCATACGACTGTAAAAAATTGAGTTTTCCTTGCTTTTTTACCTCAAGATGAGGTATATGGAGGTTTCTTGGATCTTTGTATTCGTCTCTTGAATCCAATATATCCATTATTTGTTCAACACATTGTGCTTCAACTAAAGCAGCCATTATAAAATACCTTGAATCAAGTAAACGAAACTGATTTGGTAATCTTTCGGCAAATTCAGCTATTATTGTTGCAACGTGTTTAATTATTTTTCCAAGTCTATTACAACGATCAATACTTTTCGCTTGTTTACGTTGTTGATGCAAGAATAAGAGAGACTCCGCGGCATCTCGTATATGCGTGTATTTTGGTAGTTCCCAATTTGTGCCTTCAATAATTTCGTCCGCTTTTTCGTCTGTTTTTTCGTCAAATGATTTTTCTTTTTTAAACTTCCCGACAAGTCTTGTTTCTCTTGCCCAAAAACTTAAAATTTTAGTATACGTAGCCTGCTCGAGCTCTTTTGGGATTCGCCAAATATATACAAGTCGTTCCTTGTCTTTATCATCGGTTTCTTGCCATATTTGTATTGTTTGCATTCCGACTATGAGTCGATGCCCATTCGGAAATTTCTTTGCATGTTTGACGGTTTGATTAGGTTGGAACCAGGGTTCGTATGAGTGCAAATCATGATTTATCTTATCGTTATTATCACTTTCATCGAATTCAGCAATTCCTAGCTCGATTTTTGGCATTTCCAATAGTACAGCTTGTTTCTCTTTGGTAAAACCAACAATTTGATTGTCAAATTGTATAAACGGTTGTTTATAAGGATGAGTCACCCATTCCATTTGCTTAGGCTTGAATTCTTGAATATAAGTTTCATTGGAAGTAAAGAGATCCCAGAGAAAAAATCTATACTGGTGATTTTTTTCTAACAGAATGAAAAGTTTTGTATCATTTTCACAGAATCCTAAAAAGCTGATAAAATTATCTTCCTCTTCCGTAAATTCATCGATTCTTGCTATTGCTATATCCAAAGTATTTTCTAGAAGATAAATTACAATCGTGTTATTGTCTAAGGTAGTGGCAAAATATTGGTTATCAGATGAACGAGCATATATAGGAATGCCAACGTTTGTATTTAGATTAGAATTATAATCTGGATTGTTGCATAGAAACTTAAATCGTCCTGTATTTAGACTGAATACCTCAATGTTATCTCGGCTGTCAATTGAATTCAAGTATTTTAGACGGATACAATTGTCCAAAAAGGCACAAAATGCATTTCCTTCAAGTCTATCTAACAAAGCCTTCATTGGTGGCGGAAAAAGATATATTTGCGCTGCGTCTCCTGGTTTCACTTCAAGCGGTTTAGCTTCATCATCACAATCCTCATCTTGTATATTATATGGTATCGCTCGAAGTTCATTCACCGAACCGATACAGAATCCCTGTCGTCCCATAATTATTAATTTTGATCCGGTTACAAATTTAACTATACCTCCATAATTAATAAAAAAGAATTCTTTTAATCGTTTTCTTTGGCATATGAGGATAACGGTCGAGTCATGTGACATTCCTTCTAATCTCAACTTTAGGTTCGCTTCGCCGTATTGTGAATGCGTGGGCAAAACTTGATCTATAGTTTTTGTGTGATCACTTTCTTCACGAGATGTCTCTAGACATGATAATGCTACACTAAAGTTTCCAGTCTCATCGAAATCTGAGATTGCTATCGACCATCGATCCAGCCCCTCAGATGGTCTACATATAGGAGTCGGTACACCTTTGAATGAAAATAGTTCATGATATGCTTTCAAATTTGCTTCGACACGACGTACATTGAATGATCTCGTTCCTTTAAAAAGAAAAACATAAATTATCACATTAGTCAGACAAAACGTGAAATTAACCAATTAAAGGATTAGAAACTCACTAAGATCTAATACAGCAAGAGCTTTTCGGCTGCTATTCATTACCACATATTGAAGATCCGTTGATAACTCCTTACTATTTAAAGTATTTATTAATCTTTCCGAGGCAGACGTTAATGGAGAAAAATCGTCTGCCATCGTTTAATGATAAACAAAGAAATAGTAATTAAAAATGATTTTAACGCTCTCGACAAAACAGAATCTATTTCTCAGCTTATTTGTGTCGTAATAAATATGTTGTTATGAGATGGAATAAAGAAAAACTCATTATAGGAAAATAACAAATTCTGCATACACGAAACGAATTCGAAAATGACACTAATACATAAAATATTTTTCGATACTTATTGTATTTATACCGGTTTGGTATTACATTCTACATGTATTAAACTTTTTGATACACCACATTTGTTTATGATACAAGCAATTTTATTGCGCCGTGTGACAGCACATCTCTATGGGGCTTTCGGCATAAGATTTACTTAATAGAGTGTTGCCAAGGCTTTTCAATGTGCCTTTTTTGAATGAAGCAAGACGTCACAGGATTGATCAATTTATCCTTGGTCACACAATAATGCAAAAAAAGGGGACTTTTCATTTTCTATTGTAAGTATGCATTGGTAATATAGAACAGCCGATTTCAATTGAAAAGGTGAAGTCAACACGCATGCTCGAGAGAGCTTTTTTTGGCTATAAAGATACGTTTTTTCCTTTAAGAGTATACATATACAGTATTTTTCAAAAATGGGATGATGATAAAGTCGCTCATTCAAGTTGAGTCAAATGATGTCATTTAAACAAAATTCATTATACTTGTTCTTTTATAAACTCCGAAATAAAAAAGTACTTCTACATTTGGGTCTTTTAGAATTTGAACTTATTCAAATACAGTTATCGTTATCACCTGATCAAGCCACGAGTTCTAATTACATGTACATGTATCGTCTCGGAAATCGGGTGTCATTTATCGTTATCGTTATCTTTATCGTTGTTATCCAATGCGAATTTAGGATTGGATAGAAAATTGCCTATCACAAAACAAACAATGTATCGTCAAAGAAAAAAATACCAGTGATTTTTTTTATAGGATGCGAGTTAACCGTTTAACGTGATAAATATTCTATTTCAAAAAATCATCAAACCAAAAAATGAGTTATGGGACAATAGATCAAGCGAAGAAATAGACAGTTGTCATTTTGAACGAACCAGAAGACGACAACTTAATAAACATAATTGCCGAGCAAATTCCTCATACTATAGCGCCAAAATCACGTTCACGCTCCGAAAGACAAAATATATTTCGAAAAATTCTTAATGGCGTAACTTGGATTAATTGTAAGCTTAATAAGAAAATTATCATTAAGTTTAGAAACTTCTTTAAATTTTTACTTATGTTTATTATTTTATTCTAGGAATATTGATGCGAATGATATATTTTGCATTTTTGGATTTTTTGATATTCCTATATTATACTTTTATGCTAGCGTACGCCTTATTACCCGGTTTTTGTTTCTTGTACATGTTTCTCCCGGTACTTAGAGAAGCGTTCAAAAAAGATTTGGATAGGCTAAAATATTCAACAACTTGAATTGATCAGATGACGAATGACGACGGCTCGTTAAGTATAATAGCCGAACAGATTTCATACTATACCGTGATTATTACGTATCAGTTACATTTTTACATGTATTATGCAAGATTTATACCTCAACTACAATAAGCAAATATGCAAGCATTAAAAAGTGAGTGTTCGCCTGAGGGTTGAACACTAAAACAGCTATTCAGAAATAAGGTTTTGGAAGGATACAATCAATTGAGGGTGTCTGGACTGTTGGAACATAAAATTCAGAGATTTTGGCAAAGCTCACAGAAGAGAAAATTGATTAAATTCAATAAGTTTATTTCTGATACAAATCAGACCAAAGTTAAAATTCGATATGTTTACATTTACACTTATTCTCGATGCGTAATACCTATTCTCATTTATAGTAGTTCTCGCAATTTTTTTTTGCAAATGAGGAAGATACATGTATTTCTAATAATCAAAGTTGTTCATGTTTTCTATTAATTACATGTATTTATGTAACATTAATGAGAAAAATCGTGTAACCAGAGTTTAGAAAAAGTAAATTTCTTTCGAGACATAACAGAGGGTCAGAATATTTTTAAAATTCATTGCTTATCCAGATCAGTTATTGAATTTATTGCATTCGATCGAAACCACCCCCAATTAGGCGACTATGGTTTAGCTGGCATTTTTTGTTTTTGTCGGGCGTCCTTCTTTGCAATAATTTCTGCTTCTTGTTCTTCGATCTCTCGATCTTTTTGCCGTCCTATACTCTCACGATTCAAGGACATTTTATAATCCTGGGGCGCATTACTTTGCGGCTCTTTAACCGGGTGCACGTATTTATCGTGAAGTTCGTGTCGCTGTTCTTTACCAGGTTTCGTTTCCACATTGGTGTAAGATTGCGAGGTGTGGCTTACGTGTGATTTGGTATCGTACATTCTTGATTTATTATGTTTCATAGTCGACATATTTTATGGCTTACAGTGTTTTGCACAATGAAAGTTTTAAATCAGAGAGGGGGATAGATTTTATATTAAAATCAACTGATTTGTATGTGCGCCTAATTACACGTTCTGGTGGGTAATTGTTTAAAGTATGATGTACATGTGCATATTCAAGACAATTATGGTTAGTAAAGTAAATGACAAAATTACAGGGTTTACAATATGAAAAAAAGGATTTTTGTTATGCTGCGGGGTTTTTGTCCGTTTTTTAACTTTTAAAACAAACACCAACCTTTGGATAACGAAACAAACATTGCGCCAGTTTTGTGTCATACATTACATAATTATTTGTCATGAGAAAATCACGATCACTTTTAGTGCCAATTCTGTATTTATAGATAAATATAATCATTCGAAGACAATAAAATGGCTTCGACAGAATGTACAACTACTAGATGTAATAACAACAACAATAATCATCTTGAATTGACATTTCCGGAAGATTTTTGGATTGACAAAGAAGCGAGTCGATGTTGTAACTCCATCACTGTCAACGAGAAAGACGATGCCTTGGTTATCTCTGTGACTCTTCCGGTATGTGTGTTGACTATTTATCGTTCGTTATAGAAGGGGTTCTTACAAACATCTTAATGCTGTATTTTTTCATGTGTCTTTAATAACCCAGGATTTTGATGTTCAATATGAAGTAATTGGTGGAATTGTTGCTATTTTTGGAAGAAAGAAAGAGACCCATCAAAATGATGACAAAACTGTCGACAAATTATCCGCCCTATTTCAACAACCGAAAGGTAATGTCATATTAAGTGATGTGTCAGTTACAGAATTCGCGGCGCAAGTTGTAACAGCCAGTTTTATCGATGATGATAACGACGATAAATATATATCAGACTTTGATCAAAGCAAGGAAACGCTGCCGTTAAAAGTGACCACTATGACATCTATCGAACGTGATATTATAACGAAAAACTATCAAACATTTTGTCATCCGATAAAATTACCAAATGAACTTGTCGGTGTTCCGCCGCGGTTGGAATGTGATGGTGTTAATGGGATGTTAAATATCGTAATGCCAAAGAGAACTGCTGATGTTAATGCGAATATTACTGTTGATGCTGATACTAATGCTGATGTTCATACTGATACTAATGTTGATGCTGATACCGCATCCCGAGAGGTAAGTAAATTCGATTGTTACCAATCCCAATTTTTTGTCCGAACAAGATTCAAATATTATTATATAAAAGGTTAATGTGTCTGAACAAGCTCATCGGAAAGCGGGTGAATTGTGTAAATGGATGGAAGTTCTATCGAGTTTTCTTCTTTCTTGAATTCTTTATTGTATTATTACTTTCAAATTCTAATAAATAACGAAGCCATTAATTTTATCTCAAACTCGAATTGCATTTATACGCTAACGTTAATGAATTTTGTGGAAACATTTTTGCATTTACTGTTCTGAGACAATCATTTGCCGCAAGTGTGTCTTTTTCACCTATTGGTTCAACATAAAATTAATAATTAACCTTTTATTTATTGAATCATCGGAATTAACGGCTAAACATCCGTAATTAAGCATGTCGATACAAGAAAAAAAGCAACATCACGCTATTAAAATGCTACAAATTAAAATGCTATGCATTAGCAAAAATATAAGAATACAAAATTTCTTATGACTAACTTAGGACGTGAAGTCAAATAATGTTCAATTCGACATTCGAATTTCTTCAAGAAGAACGAGCAAGGAAGGTTCCACCCAATAGTTAACATCGCCTTCTATGTTGTTCTTTCGTGCGTATCCATAATCTCCAACATTCGGTTCAAAGTATGAAGATGTGCCATACCCGGAAAATGATAAAGAATTTGAGAGTGAAGTGTAGTGGAAAAAGAAAGGAGTTGAAATGAAAAGAATAAATGCGCTGAGCTTGTGTATCATGTTTAAGAATAATTCAAGCGAAATCCTGTTTATCCTGAGATATAATTCCTAGCGAACGTTATTAGCTTTAGACGTTACAAGAACCATGAAAAAGAACTTCGTAAAACAGCTTTTTCTTATTGAAAGTACTGTACATGTATTTAGGAATAAAGATAATATTATTCCCCAATGTTTCAATTCAACCAAAGAGATAAAATGGCACAGCTACTCGTTTATTGTTTGTTAAATGCTAGTTAAGTAAATGTATTTGTCGCACTACATACCCGTATGCACACGCCACCCGGTAAAACTTATTTGTAAATGCAGCCAACGCCAAGTCTTTTTTTTGAGAAAATCTTTTAATAAATATGGAAGCCACAATAATTAAAAAATCATGCAAGTATATGTAATAGCGATCAGAAAAGATTGGAATGCAGGAGAATAGGAAATTCAAAAGTAGTTAGTAATTGTTTGGTTTGCCTTTC